CCCCAAAACCCCAAAACCCCAAAACCCCAAAACCCCTGGGTAAAATAAAATATTTGAATTTGAATGCTGAAAATGGAGAGAAAGCATAGTCAATTTTATAAAGTAATTTTAGTGAATTTTGGACGGAGAGAGGCTATGGGCTTTGGTCTGATTTTGTGTTAATGAGTTGGTTATGGAGTTTAGTCGGATCGTAGTGATAAGAAGAGGGATGACAGGAGACTTGGAAGAAGAGATAGCAGGTAGGAATTGGGATTTTTATGGTCTATAGCGCTTCAAGGAGTTATTCACGGAGTCAATCAAGACGTTCAGGATATTCGAGAAGTCGCAAACATTCTAGTGAGCGTGAGGGAATAGATCTCGTAGAGAGAATCAAAGAAGATGTTGCCAAAGTGATTAGGGAAAGTAAGCAATTCAAGATTACCTGAATTCAAAATTTCTTTACTTGACTTACTCACCTGAAATTTTAGGAGAACTTGACACCCAAAAATTCTATAAAGATTGCAGATCCAAGGGTAAAGGCAAAGGAATGATATATGATCGGGACTTTGAAGATATCCTCACCAGAGATATCAAATTTAAGGGGACTCAGAAAGAAATAGATCTCCTGTGTGAGCACTACGGGAAGAAGGTCAAACGTGGGTATATAGACTACAAAACTTTCGATGAAGATATTTATTCAATCAATAAGCGAACTAAGAGAAGATCAGAGCGAAAAGCTCCGGTTAGAACGGGCTCAAAAGATGGTTCTAGAAGAGGCTCCATCAATCTGAAGCCAAAAGGCAGTCATATTGAAAGGAGGAACTCTAGAACTAGTTCTATAGGCAAAAACTCAGAGAGAAGCAATACTAGAAGCAGAAAAAGAACTGATTCAATCAGAAAACCTAGGGAGGAAGAAAAAGAAAGATCTAGAAGAGGCTCTACTCATCGGAAGGAAACCGATGATGAGGAATATAGATCCAAGAGACATGATGACAGGCACCGATCAAAAAGAGATGACGAGGAGCATAGGTCAAGGAAGGATGATGACAGGCACAGGTCAAAGAGAGATGATGATAGGCATCGATCTAGGAGAGATGATGACCGATACAAATCACACAAGGATGATGACAGACATAGGTCAAAGAGAGATGATGAGAGGCATAGATCCAGAAAAGACGATGACAGGCATAGATCTAGAAGGGATGATGAGAGACATAGATCCAGAAAAGATGATAACAGACATAGATCCAGAAAGGATGATGAGAGGCATAAGTCAAGAAGAGATGATGATAGGCATAGGTCAAGAAGAGATTCAAATAGCCAAAAATCTAGGGATGAACCTAGAATAAAAGAAATTGGATTCTCTTATAGAATATCTCCTAACATGCCTGACGATGGCAAATATAGTATGAAAAATACAGTGATTGGGAAGTATCCAGACAAAAGAAAACAAAGAAAGCATATTGTCAAGATCTCTGATTACTTTCTACAAGACATGATCAAGGCAACTTATACCAGAAATAAACTAGTTGGTGATGCGTTCAGAAAGTTCTCTTCAGGACGAGATGGATATCTTTCAGAATCAGCCTTTAAAGACGCCATCCTTACCTTTGGTATAAAATTAGACTCAAGAGGCATCAGAGAGACATATCGCAAACTTAGGGGACAAGAGAAAGAACTCACTGACGAACTCATTGATATTGCTATTGAAGATAATGCTAAAAATGGAATTGAAGAAATTCAAAAATCTATTATGGAGAAGATCAATCGTGAAATTAAGAAGAAAGAAGGTGCCTCCATTAACGATGCCTTTCTGCTTAGTGAAAGAACCAGAGACGAAGAGGTCACATTTAATGATTTTAAAAAGGTGATAAAGGACTATGCTCCAAATGTTAAGTCCATTGACATCATTTTCCTGGCAAAAAGATACTGTATCAAGAATGATGACTGTGTAATGTATGAGAAATTTCTAGACGACATAGATCTCTTGGACAAAGGAATTAACCCATTAATTTCATGGGCTGATGATCTGTCTAAAACAATTGTAAAGGCTACTTTAGCACAGAATACGGATTTCGAGACACTATTCAAGAAGCATGCTCCTAGACAGGAGTTTATCACCAAGTCCCAGTTCATTGATGCTATGGCTAGTATAAATGTAACATCAAAGTTTGATTCTGCGAAGATACTGAAATTCTATTACTTTATTGACGATGATAAGTCAGGAGAAGTCAGCTTCAGAGAAATGGAAAGTATCATTAAAACACATTGAAAGCTCAAAGCAGAAGACCTCATGGATGGAGTCTTGGATGAAATTAAGATCAAAATGGCTGACAGAGTCACCCTAAAAGATATTTACAGAAATCTCTCTGTTTCAAGCAGGAAGGAGCTCGTCGATATTGGTGCTTTTAAACGTGTCTTTAGAAATGATATCAAGCTTGAAATTTCTCAAATTGATCTAGATTTTATGATAAACTATTACAGGGACAAACGAGATAAAAAGTCTGTGAAGTACACGGTGTTTATGGACGATCTCAAGGCAAAGTTTGGGTCAGAAGAAAAGTTCAAATCTGATAAAGGTATTAGCCTTAAGGTTCCTGCTGATAAAAACTTCACTCCTGGAAAGTCCTTCTCTAGAAAGGACTTCGAAACACCAAAGAAAGACGAGGATATTCAGGTTATATTGAAGGAATTACGTAGAGATGCTAGAGGAAAAGAAATAAAACTCGATGAAGAGTTTGCTAAGTAAGATACACTGTTTACTCTCTAGATTTAGTAAGACTGGGCTGGTCACCAGCAAAGAGTTCAAAGAAGTGTTCGACAGATATGGATTGAAGACCTCTCGAAGAGACATCACAAAGCTTGTTGATCGGTACATCAATACTATCGATGACAAAATTGACACCAGTGTAATGATCGATCATATGTTTCATAATCATGATCTCTACAATCCATTGTCAAGTAGGAAAAAATCACCAAGAGGTCGAAAAAGTAGAGATGGAAGGTAAGTTATCATCAAATTGCTAGATAAATTCTTAATTAAAATTCTCACCACCTGAATCTAGAAGTAAGGATAGAAAACTTGCCGAACCAAAGAGCTTAAGAAGAAAAGATGATGGGCGTAAACGAAGCTCTAAGCATGGTGAAAGCTCAAAAAGAAGGACTAAAGATAGGCACGGAGACAAATCCCGGGACCATAAGCACTCTAGTAAGGATCACCGGAATGCAAAATACACTAAGAAAGTTGGACATACTCAGTATCGCTCGGATCACAGAGGGAAATCTAAAGGAAATCATCCTAAGTTTGAAGAAGAGAAAAATCACCCAATAGGCACTATTAGAGAAAGTAGTAGGCCAAGAAAAGACAAAGGCAAAATTGCAAGGTACATCGGGAGAAAGCTAAAGGATAAAGATTATGACTACGTTGACCACCTCAAGCAAATCGCTGGAGATGATATTGACTTTATCCTTACTGATAAACAGATATTTAAAATGTGTGATGCTGCAGGGATAAAGTTGACCAAACCAGACCAGAAGTTCTTCGTTTTGGATATGGATAGACCAAACTTCACTGTAGAAGAGTTCTTAATAAAATGCAAATTGAATGCAGACCAATTTCAAACTGTAGGGTTAGCAGATGAAGTAATCCTTACAACTGAAGAAGAAGACCAAGCAAAAAGTAATCTTGAGAAAATTGGAACTGCAATTCAAGATGAAAAGAAGGAATTTGAGAAGGTGTTCAATATCGGCCCTTATGACAAAAAGCTAGACTTTTCAGAGTTCAAGTTTGGGCTTCTAAACGAGCTAAACTCGGATTGCTCCAATATGGCAAACCATGACAAAACTCTAATGCTGCTCAAGAATTTCTTAGTTGAAGATGCGAATAAAGACGACAAAATTGATGTGAAAAATTTATACTTACACCTCTTCCCACTTGGGGAAGGAAAGCAAGAGATCAAGACAAAAATGAATTGAGTGACTGACTTTATAGAATATCTGAAGAACAACACTGATGTAGATCTAGAGAAGGAATTTAAGGGAGACATGAGTCATGAAGAATTTGAGCAAGCTCTGAATGAAGCTGGGTACAATATCTCAAAGCAAAACCTGGATAAACTTATAGAAGCCTTTACAAATAACAGAAACCCTGATAAGGTCTCTAAGAATCTGATTAAGAGAAACATCAATCTGTTAGCTCCAGAAATCTTGAACACTGAAAAGAATCTTAAGAGAAAGGATGCGAAGGTATTAATCGAAAATCTAGATAAGGGACCCAAGATTACACTCACGAAGATAAATGAGCATTTGGTACGGGAAAGAATCGATATTTTTACCTTCTTCCAGTACTGAGACGAGGACGGAGATGGTCTTGTTGGAGAAGAAGAATTTTGTAAAGGAATTTCTCATTGGAAAATACCAGGGATGAAAGATAAGCACCTTAGAGATGCCTTCAAGGCAATCAATCCTAATGAGGATGAAAATTTATCACTCGGTGAACTCTGGTTATACATTGATGGAGCAAAGCAAACTGAGAAGCAGAGAGAAATATCTTTGGAAAAGGATTTAGAAAGAGACATGGAGCAGCAGATTGATGACATCTTTGTTGAATTTAAAGATTCTGAGAACAATGTAACTAAAGATAGTATTCAGAAAATTCTTTCTGCATATAACATACCCTCCAACGTGATTTCTAAAACTCTGGGAGGACTGAAAACTGAAGCAGGAGGTACAGTCAACAAGAAAAGCTTTAAGAAATTTATGACAAATTTCTTGAAAAAGCAGATATTACAGGTTGAGAATGATATTAATGAATTAAGAGCAATGTTCTTCGAAGCTGATATGGATAAATCAGGGTTCATTGACATCGATGAACTCTATGCCTTCTTTAAGCTTAAGCTGAATGCTGATATTACCAAGGAAGAACTTAGAAATCTTGTCAAAGAAGTAGACATTGACTATAACGGCAAACTTGATATTGATGAGTTTATTTCAGTAATGACCAAGAACCCAGGAGATAAAGGAGCTGATAACTCAGTACAGTCTACTTATTTTAGAATCAGGAGAAGTAGAAAGTTTGATTTGACCGAATTTATAAAGTTCTTACAGAAGTTCCCAGCACATTTCCAAGATAGTTTCACTACAACAATGTATAAGAACAAGAAGTGATTACCCTCGAGTGCGTTTATCAAGAATATTGTTCCAAGTGATGGGATACCGGTCTTGCTCAAGAAGAAATCCATCGATACCTGCATAAAAACAACTGAAAGTACTCTTGGAGGCCAAATTTTGTTAGAGCTTGCCTCCGGGATCCCATATCCTGAGGAAGATAAGCTAAATTTGGATGAAATTAAGAAGCGTGTTGTCAGAGTCTCTATTTATGACTTTGATGCCAAGAAGTACATTGGAAACTCTTCTCACGTAGTCGCAACGGTGAATCCTCGGTATAAAGACCAGTGGAAGTTTAACAAATGGAGTGAGACTGGCACTAATCCTCTAATCTTCAAAAGCTCTGATCCATCCAAGTTCTCTAATAGAAATGTCTGCTTGATTTTTGAATTTGTGATTTATTGCAAGCAAGACTCTAGCACTGTTAAAGAGCTGAATTGAGGATGGTGCAAGCTACATGTAAATAATTTTGACAAGAAGAAGGGCAAGTATAGTGTAAGTCTCTAACCCAAATTGTTATAGAATATCCAAATTGAAGGCGGAAGCCCAGAACTTGAGTCTAAAATTTCATTAATGGACAAAAAAAATAATAAAGCAAAGAAAATCTCACTAACTATAAGTTACAGAGGCCTTAAGGACTTTAGTAATGAAACCTTATTCCACTTAACCATGATGCCTGATTTGTGAATTTTTAATAAACGCTTGATCATGTTCTTAGTTGGATTCAGAAATCTGCTGGGTAAAGAAAGTCATGGAGAATCATACTTTGCTGAATCTGTAGCATTGCCTACAAGCAGCTATTATTTTGTCACATTCGTTAAAATGATGGATAATCCAGATGTCCTGGAAAACTTCTTGGCGTTCTGGAATGACACTGTTATAAAGAAGATGAAAGAAAAAGAAAAATATGATATCGATAAGCTGGTAGATCTCACTGAAGAGCAGATCTCAAAAGTTTATCCTATTGTATATAATCCAACATTTAGAATAGATGAGCATAATGTTTATCAAGCTGCTGAATGCTTTATAGACGACCATAATTTGAAAGAAACCAGAAAAACTTTGCTTTTAAACTCTCTTAACGATAGGGAACTTGATTATATTGACAAAAGTAAGTCTTTTCTAATTCTTCTAGAGAACAAAAAAGCTACACCAATAGTATTAGATAACGCATACAAGCCGTTCAACGTCAGAGAGCTGGACTCTGCTTCAATATTTTCTACTGGGATTGAATTCTAACTTACAAGCCTAGTCACTTCTCTGGAAAAGCATCTTTGTAAACTCAAATATTGGTCTCAAGATATTTCAATTCAGCTTAACAATATTGGGGTTTTGGGGTTTTGGGGTTTTGGGGTTTTGGGG